CCATGAACCTGATTCATTGAAGTCCAACTAAGAACCATCTTCATGAATAGATAGCAACTAAGAAACATGTTCATTGATTATTAACATACTTAATGGATAAACTTCACATAAAACAACATGTAGTGGGCCATAATAGTTAGTGAACATGAAATTGGCAAATGTAATCATTGAACCTGTTTCATAGTTGCCAAATTAAAGAGCAAACCAAGCCATGAACCAGATTCATTAAAGTTGTTGTTCATAGTGGTGATGAACTACATCAAATACACAGTTTGAGCAACAATTTCTATGAAACTAAACAGCAAAAAAAAAATTTACCAACCACTGATAACATTGACTTCACTACAATAAGAATGAAACAACTTGGGGTTTCTTCCAATAGATATGCATTTTGTCCCAAACTCATGTACCATACAAATTTAAAGCTTTAAAACGATGAATGCACAAATGGAATACCTGTATCATCCTTAACAACTCTCTTCCTGCCTCCTTTCTTCATCTGCTGTTTAATGAACTCCAAGTCGTTACCATCGTCATCGAGTTCAACAGGTCGTTCTTTGTCGTTGGTAAACTTCGAAAAACTGTTCATTTCCCTCAATCTTTGGCTATAACGCCTCCTCCCTGTGACAGATGGATTACAAGCCTTCAATGATCTCCAACTTCACTGTTCGATTTCTATTAAATCGAAAAACGATTTCAATAAATGTGACATACCTCCATTGTTGCCGACCATTTTGGTTGAATATACAGATGATGTTTTTGGAAACTCTATATTCGAATATGGATATGATTTACCTTCGCCGGATTGAGAGGCTGCATGCGATGAATACGGGTTTACGCCGGGAATGATTTGGAAAAGTAATCGAGGGCTTGCAATTTTAGTACTGATTCTACCCTTTTTGGATAAATAAGATTAATATTAATTATTTTTTAATTTTTAATTTCCTAAAATAAATTGATATAATCTAGGCCATTGATCGATAAAATGGACGGATGAGATTAGTTTACACGGTTCACACAAATGGTTCAAGTTTTCATTTGAACGCTCCTCTCTCTATATATATATATATATAGTTAGTGGATTCTTCAACATTAAAGAAAGATGTTGTTGAAGGTGTGGACTTGATGGTTATAAGGGAACTTACAGGAGGTCTACTCTCATTACTTGCTTTACCAGCTTCAATGCTATATATAATTAATCATTTAATTAATTATTCTATCTATACATTTTTTGAAGGTATCTACTTTGGAAAACCAAGGGGATACGGAACAAACCAAATTGGCAACGAGATCGGCTTCAACACTGAGGTTTATGCAGCATACGAGGTTGACCGCATTGCTCGCATTGCATTTCAGACAGCTCGTAAACGCAATGGAAAACTTTGTTCTGTTGACAAGGCAAATGCCCTCGAGGTATCAATGTTCATTTAAATTTTTGTTTTTAATTTTATATATATAATAAAGGGGTGTATGTGGATTGGTTTGGGCCGTTTACGATATTTTTACAACCCCAACTCAGTCCAATGACGGTTTACGAAAATCTCAACCCAACCCAATTTTTGCGGGTTCAAGCTGGTTGGGGTGGTGAGTTAATAGTTATATAAACTTGATGACTTAATTTTATAAGAACAAGCTATAAACGTTCCATGTAAAAAGATTATAATTATAAAGGTTTTCAATTAGGCTTTTCAACAACTTTTTTGAACGTTTTTAAAATAAAGTGTTATATTAGTTATTTTATAGATTATTTTTGAGAAGTGTCCTATAAACTCATTTAAATTATATAAGACTTGTATTCATATGACACGCTTTCAAATAATATCATATAAAACAATTAATATAACACTTTATTTTAAAAACGTTCTAAAAGTTTATTAGGACACCTAAAAGCGTCCTATAAACATATTATAACACTTTTCAATATAACATTTTTTATGTTTCATCCTAAACAATATCAAATTAAGATGCTTAGACATTTTAGGGGTCCTATATATAAAACTAATGTTGTAGTGAAATGCTATAATAATTAGCATTTTCTTTCCACCAAATAGAGAACATCAAACTAGGAAGTCGTTGGATTGATTGATTCGTCAACCAAATATCTATCAACATCATTCATATTCTCCGTCGTATCCATTTGTTGTTGTTGGAAAAACGATTTCAATATGCTATAAAGGAGACGGCCACCAACTTCGAAGAATTGATTGACCGGTGTTGGGATAGTCGGAAGCGAGACAAAGATTGCCTCCCGTGACCAACGGTGTGACATAAGCCGCTTGGTAAACCATCAGAGCTACTGGATTGCACCATAGGGACTTGCACGATTATTCCCATGGCCCAAGCCGCATAACGACCCATGAGACTCAGGGGTTGTTTGTTTTTAATAAAAAAAGCTCTTAATGTCCTCTTAAGTCTGAATCGGTCAGATAAAAGAGGATTCAATGTTTTTTTTTTCAATTAAGAGCTTAAAAGCTCTTATTAGGTCTGAAAATTTCAGTGGTTGCGAAACCTCTTATTATCTCTTATTTCAAATCGTCGCCTACCTACTCTGATCTCTTTGCGCTCGATTTCTCTGGATCAACTATTCTGTCTCGATCTCTCATCTCTCAACTCTGTCAACTATCGATCCATATCAACTCTCGATCTCTCATCTTCAAACTTCATATTTCAGACACAAAAAATAAACAGTCTGACTGATTCAGATTTCAGACTTCAGCACCACCACTACTAGAAAACCATGTATCAGCGACGAACATCAGCGAGGGAACTTGCCCCTCACAGATCAGCGATTAGCGAGGAAAATACCAAAAATACATTCTCTCGCTGATCCCTCGCTGATCTGCGAGGGATCAGCGAGGGAATAAGTTTTTTGGCAGTTCCCTCGCTGATCCCTCGCTGATTTGCGAGGGACAAATTCCCTCGTTGATCCCTCGTTAATCTGCGAGGGATCAGCGAGAGAATTAGTTTTTTGGCAATTCCCTCGCTGATCCCTTGATGGGCTTGATTCGGTTTTATTGGGACTTAATGGTCTTCATTCGATGTTATTGGGTCTTATTGGGATTTATTCGGTTTTATTGGGCCTAATGCGCTTTATTCGGTTTTATTGGGCCTTAATGAACTTTATTAGGTTTTATTGGGCCTTAATGGACTTTATTAGGTTTTATTGGGCCTTAATGTGATTTATTCGGTTTCATAATTTAATAATTTAATGATTAATTAAATTTATAGTTATTAATTAAAAAAGTAATTTAATAAATTAAATAATAATAAAAACTTTATTTGCGACGGATTTATTCCGTCGCTGATTATCATTATCAAATACTAGGTTAAGCCACCCTTTTTTCATTTCCACATGGATCCTTACTAACCGGCTCAAATCGCGATAGAGAGAGAGAGCTCGCACACCGTCTTCATCGTCGCCGACCACCGTCATCCTCACCGTCTTCACTGTCGCCGACCACCGTCGTCCTCACCGTCTTCATGTGTAAAATGTGTTTGTAAAAGGGTCTGTGTTTGTAAGTTTGTAAAATGTGTTTGTAAAAGGGTCTGTGTTTGTAAGTTTGTAAAATGTGTTTGTAAAATGTGTTTGTAAAATGGTCTTGTATGTATGTAATAGATAATAGATTAGAAAATAGTAATGAAATTAGTTGTATGTTTAAAATTGTATGTATGTTTAAAACTGTTTAAAACAGTCTTGCTCATGTTTAAAATTAGAAAATGTGTGTTTGCTCATGTTGATTGTATGTTTGGACTTGTATGTTTAAAATTGTACATATTCTAGATTATTTTAACTTCGTTGGTTATGTTTATTGTTTGTTAAATTAGGCTTGATTTTATATATATATATATATATATATATATATTTGTAGTTGGGTCGCCAATTGTTGGGCAAACGTTAGGCTTAATTCATTTGGAAATATTCATTTTATAGCCGTTATGCCCGCGAAATTTTAAAAAACATAGGCTTCTTTACTCGTTCAAACCTTTACACTTAGAGTTTTAAAGTCATCTGAAACTTCGAGAAACCTACGGTTTGACTTTCAAGTAGTCAAACCTTTACACTTAAAGTTTTAAAGTCATCCGAAACTCCTCTAAACCTACAGTTTGACTTTATAGTAGTCAACACTTTAAAGTAATCTGAAACTCCTCTAAACCTACGGT